ATTGCAAGTTCAAAGCCAACCTCATTAACTTAGTGGGACCCTAAGCAATTTAGTGATATTCTATGTCAACATAAAAAATTAAAAGGCCTGGAGATGTGGCTCATTCATTAAGTGTCCCTGTGTTCAATCTCCAGTACTCCTCAAAAAGTCTTGATACTGGAAGCCCTTCAAACTGGCTTGACAAACTCTCTCTACCACTCTTTGAGAATTCCTTTATTTATTTTTTATTTATTTTAATAGCTCAGAGTGTTCTAAACTCATCTTGTACTTTCCACAACTTGACTTCAGCTTTTAAGGAGCCCTGATTTCTTTCTGTGGAGAGTAGTATTTAAAACTAAAATCTCACGGCTGAGGTTGTAGCTCAGTGGTAAAGCTCTTGCTAGCATGTGTGAGGCACTGGGTTTGATCCTCAGCACTGCTTATAAATAAAAAAATAAAGATCTATCGACATCTTAAAAAAATATTAAAACAACAAATAAATGAAAAATAAAATCAAAATCTCACTGCACCTTTCTAAGCAGTAAAAACTAAGCAATATATTTAAATATATATGCAAACACATTTACATAATTATTTACATATTTTTAATATAAATCTATATGTAAACACCCATATTTATGAAATTAGAAATTTGATAGTATCTAGGATTTATTATCAAGTTTGTTTAAATGTCCAGTAAGTAAATAATAAAATTAAGGGTAGACCAATGGACTTTGTTACATTCAGTATTGTCTGTTATTGACTTAGTGACTGAGCTGTGTGTGTGCCAAGGAAACCTCAAATACAGGAAAATACTCAGTGCCCAGAAGTATTTGGATGGTGTAAAACTATAGGTTACTGCTTAATAGATCTTAATTTATAGTCAGCTTGGTTCAAGTCTGGGTTAAGCATCTTCCAGAGGTGCACAAAAGCAGGTCATAGCTTTTAGGTTAATCATTGGTGAAATGTTGATTGTTAATTACTACAGCTCTTAGTAATCTCCTCTAGTACTAAGGGCCTAGCTTATTAGACCTCTAAGTAAATTAAACATTACTTATGCAATGGTGTATCTTATAGTTTTATTAGGTACCTATATAGCACAACAACCATGTCAAGATAGTCTACATAGGACAACATCTGCTAACTATCATAGTACTTATTTTTGATTTTTTCATTTAATATAAGGAAAATATCAATGTGAGAATACTGAATGATGCTAATGTAATAGTTGCTCTGACATCAAAATATAGCTTCAGATTCTGAAGTCTTTATACACTGTTTCATAAATAAACCCAAATAAATATTTTATTGTTATGAGGCAGTTATAAAAATAAGTGATACTTGAGGATTCTTCAGAGGTTTAAGTAAACTTTTTTGGTCATTTGAATAAAAGTTAAATGTTTCACACTTAGTACTGTCTGCCCATATATAGACTGAATTTAAAATATAATTCTACTTAATCAAACTATGAATTGGAAATAACTTCGGGAATGGAGGGCTGTAATGTGCATAGGCCAGATATCTGGTCCCACTTGCATGTGAATATAAACCAATTATGACTTCTAAGTTTAACTTCTCTTTATTCCTTTCAAAGACTAATCTGTTTCCATTGGTAATGTAGATAACTCACGTGGGGACTACCATGGGAAATGAACCAAATGAACCAAAGAACTTGACAATAAGATTATCTTGTGACTAGAAAGCAGTAAGGAGTGAATCAACCAGAGACAAAAAGTACTGCCACATTAGAAACATGAAAGGCTTTCACATCAATGCTGAGCAGTCAGAAGTATGAACACATTATAGAAGAGTGTCTTAATGGGTATGGGGTCTTAGCCAATGAAACTGAATAAATAAATCTCAAACATTAAGGATGATAAACCACAATTTAGCTCCTGAAGAATGCCATTTAAGACCTGTTTTGAGTAAAGCAAAATTTCTACTACCAAAACACATTCTGAATATTCTTTCTTCCTTTACAGATTATTCTAGAAGAAGATACTGGGAATCTTTATAACTCACATGACCACAAGCATTCTAACTCCTAGGACCAGCAGCTGTCATAGGACCAATTAGAACTGAGCTATAGACAGCCATCTCAGGGAGCTATTTAATATAACTCAGCCACTGAGAGATGAATCCATGAATATGCAGTCTGCTGGACAATAGGCCAGTGCTGGCTCACAGCCAGCTCACCAAGGCATGGTGCCTTTGTGACACTTCTTGGCAGGCAGCCTGTCAGCTTTCCTTGGGGACCCTAGTCTCACTACTTACTCTCCATTTAAACTTCTTCAACAAGTAATAAAAACCCTTAGAAACCTCAGAGGACTTTTTCTCTTTATTCAGAGCCAGATATGGTCCTTGCTTTGGTATTGACCAGAACCCCACATGCCTCAAGACAGTTACTTTTTAGACCCTTAATAATAATAACATTTGACTTCACAATTATTTTTCAAGACTTTGCACTTCTCTGTTTCTATAGGTGAACAAACTAAAGCTCAGAGCAGCTAAGTAACTTGCCAAGATCATATGAATTAATAACTCTTTAGTGATGGCATCAAGCTTGTTTTTTTTCCACATTTTTTATTAGTGCATTATAGTCATACATAATAGTGGGGTCTGTGCTGCATCCTTGTACCTGTATTCAATATAACAGTATAGCTTGATCAATATTACTTCCCAGCACTCCTCCTTTTCCTCCCCTCCTTCCACTTCTTGGTCCCTTTCCTCTGTACTACTCATCTCCCCTTTTATTTTCATGAGACACACTCCCCAAACTTTCTTTACGTTTTTCCTCTCCACCTTCCACATATATGAATAAAAAAATATGACTCTTGACCTCTGAATTTGGCTTACTTCACTTAATACAATATTCTCAAGCTCCATTCATTTTCCTGCAAAAGACATAATTTCAGTTTTCTTTATGGCGGAATAAAACTCATTGTGTATATATATCCCGTTTTCTTTATCCATTTATTGTTCATTGGACACTTATCCTGGTCCATAGTTTGGCTATTGCGAATTGTGCTGCTATAATTATGGGTATGCCTATATCACTATAGAGGATAACTTTAATCCTTTAGGATAAATATGAGTAGTAGTATAGCTGGGTCATGTGGTGATTTCATGCCTAGTCTTCAGCGGAACCCCCATACTTACTTCCATAGTTGTGCAAATTTACAACCCCACCAAGAGTGGATAGGGCCAAGTTTTAAACCCATATGCACACACCATTGTGCAACTTTTCCTTCTCTATTCTTCATCCTCCAATGATACTGTTTTACTGTCACTACTGATATGGTTTATTCACTCATTTATCAATATTTGTTGAGAGCTACTTCTATCGTAGACATGGGACTAGACTTTCAAGTGCAATGGAAAGCTTAAACATAGCAAAGAAAAACTTAATTTGAGAGATAAACAGTAGCCAATTATATTAATTTCATATTACAAGTGTATAAAATACTGGAAAAGTGTAAGTTCAGAGAGCACTAAGGGAAAGTAAATAAGGAAAAATGTAGTCTCCAGAGAGAATGGGAAACAAAGTGAAGGATGCTGGCATAGAAGTCAAGGTAGGATAGTTTCTTGAAGAGCCAAGTTGTCTGCTTCTTGAAATACTACAAGATATCAAGAAAGGAAAAGACTAAAAATATTTGTTGAGTTTAACAACACTGAGATCTTTGCTGGCCTTAATGGTATGTCCTGTTGCTTGAATATTGTAACTTCTGACTTAAATTTGTTATACTTATTATATTCAGTTTTAAATCCAAATAAATATGAATAGTCTGCCAGAAATTATTGGAGGTCAAGGCACAGCTGTGTATAGGAATTCTTGGTCTGTCATTCTTTTATGTATCATCTCAGATATATCTATCCATCCATATAGTATTTTGTTTTCTATGATGTCTTAAAACTTCATGAACATTTCAGGTTCTTCATCTGTCAGTTAAATATGAACTATTTCTGATATCAATGATTACAATTTGTGAGTTTTTCCCCCTCAAAACCAAGATTTAGAATAAAAGCAACATATTTATTAAAATTTATTAAGAAGATACTTTTTCACATAAAAGTATTTCTATAAATCTTTAAAGTTATAAATATTCAGCAATAACTTGTCATGGTCCAGACCTTGTGCTAGAAGTAATACTGTGAGTAAGCAGATGTCTATAAAGCACATCATGCAGCTTGCAGTGCTGTGTTGCCTTGCCTCTTTCTGTGTCTTAGAAGTTCACGCTTTGAATTTTTTAAAGATGTGGTGGTTGAGATCAAATATATGTAGATTTTTGAAGCTACATCAAGAAGAGTTTCTTAGAACGTTTGCCTGCATTTAACAGGAAAAGGTTGCAAGAAGTAAGTTTAGAATATCAGAAGTTCTGCTGTCCCTCTGTAGAGTGCTTTCCATTTGATCAGACCTACCTTTACAAGTTAGCCACACACATAAACACACACTATGCAGGTGCATGTAGATAGAAAACACCTAATAGAAGATCTAAGAATGAGAATTTTTTTTCTGATTTACTTTAAGTCTTCTGGAATCTTTGGAAATTGAGTCCTTATAATATTTGTAGTCACAATGAATTCTTCATTTTTATTCATCCTTTGTATTTGGGGATATATGTTGTAGGATTTTCTTGGGGAAAAAAGTTTAGGTGTTGTTTCAATGCTTTTATTATTCTCATAAAACATAATGTGGCCTGATTTTCTACAAAATAGACAAAAAAAATCATCTCTTTCCAAGTATTTTACCTGATAAATGTAATTAACTCTTGGTGGTTGGTTACAACCTTTCAAATTTAGAAAAGCTGATGTAACACCTCATTCCTGGTTTAGTTGTATGTGAAAAGTTGAAAAATTCTCATACACATAGACAGCCCTGGAATATCTCACCATAAGCAAGTCTGTCTTACCTTGATGGAAACTTATAATAAATTGATTTCTTCTTGTGTGCTGGAGAACTTCCACTTTGATGAGTCACTGTGACTACAGTTGCTGTTTGTTTCTGTCTTGGTTAATTTCAGAGCACATTCAGAAAATGAAGGTACCTCTTCACCATCTGCTGATTCCTGTACCAGTCCTACAAAGATGGACTCCTTGTATAGTAAGACTGCTAAGCAGTGCCTAGAGGAGATATCTGGTAAGTGACCTGATTTATGGGTAGTTCTAACCTTGGAATTTTGTAATCTCCTTGTAAGTCTTTGTATTAAGTCATATTTATGCTATACTTTTGCAAAAATAAACTCTATGAATCTCATGCTTCAGAGATTCTTAGATGATTGGCTCTTCTGTCTAGGATGATCTTTTTGTTGCTCTGAAAAAAAAGTGGTTCTGCTTTCGGAAGCTTATGCTCTTAAGTTATTTTTCCCCTCAGTCAAGTTGAATATAATCAGAGAAACCTGGTGAACCTTCTGTTGTTAATAAGACAGCTTGGATATATTTGGATATTGAAAATATTCTAAAGATCTATTGTCAATGTAAATTTTTTGACTAATCCAACCCTGCTCTGTCTTCCATCCTATTTAATTTGGAACATTTGTACTTGGCGATTCTAAATATACATCTTGAGAAAAATTCTAATGAAGGAAATATTTTATTATATGTAGATAACATATGAAAAAAAATTTCACACCTGGGCGCATGCATAATCCCAGTGACTTGAGAGGCTGAGGCAGGATGATCACAAGTTCAAGGCCAGCCTGGACACCTTAGCAAGACCTGTCTTAAAATCAAAAGTGAAAGAGAGTAGGGATGTAGCTTAGTAGCAAACTACCCCAGAGATTAATCCACAGTACCAAAAAACAAAACAAAAAATATGCCTCAGATTATTCTTGAGTATATATAAAATAGAATTATCAGCTTTAACCCAACATTTTTCCCAGGATTCAAGTGAGCCTAGGAGTATATGGAAAACCTTTGGAGTAATTCTGTTATATGTAATCTATATTCATGAGTAACTAGGTTACTTCTTATCGAAATATGCTTTTCCTAGGGTATGAGAGGATTTATGAAGATTTTAACTGTTCCTAAATGAAAGAATGCATGGCAGTAGACATATATTTGCTCTTCCAATAAGTCTCTATCTCAGCCTTCATGTATTCACAGCTAAATCCAAAGAAAAAAACTAAATGAACTATTTCAATTGAAAAATTACTGTAAAATACATGCACTCAATATATTGCTGTGAAACTCATGAAAGAAGCTACATCACAACTTGAATGATTCGGAAAGTTCTGCACTTTGGTAATCATGAAACACAATTTGACAAACATTGGATGTTACTGCAATATCTGCTTGTAAATATTGACAATGGCAAAACATCCCCAGGGTACCTTTTAGAATTATCATTAGGCATCAGAGGTTTCAAATTGAGAACAGAACAAAGGGCCTGTATAGGGAAGGGTAGAAATTATAATGTGAAGATATATATGACGATGTTATTTATGGGTTTTTCAAATGCTCAAGGGAAGTGTTGGCTTTCTCTTAGCTCCAGGTAATACTGTAGTCAGAACAATGCTGTGTATCTGTACTGTAGCCAGATATCTTATAAACCTAAGATGACAGGAAGATACTATAATTCCAATATTAATTTATACATGAATATCTTCAATATGCCTATGAAGTACTAGAGCTCAAATCTGTGGGCAAAAATAAACTTATAGAAATTTAATTATAATTGTGAATTTCACAAGAGAACACTATTTTCTGAAATTAATATATCACTGAGTAGTACAGCTGGAATAATCCATATTAAATTTTTTTCTACAGTTTATCATTCTGTCTAGCATTTAATCATTTTTTCATATTTCCAGTTAATATTGCCAGTTAATGTTCTGAGGTTTTTAATAGAATACTTGAGGGTGAAATATAAATTAGACTTCAATATAATATAATGATTTAATGGATTTAATTGAAGAAATACTAGTTTGCAGTAAGAATGAATTTTTTATATAGAATCAAAGATTTGAAGAAGGGACGAAAATAGAAAATAAATGTTACAATGAGTCTTATCTGATTGTCATTCTAACTGTTATCTGTTTTAAGTGTAGCCTGTAGGGGAGTGATAAGAACATCTGTCAATGCAAACATTAGATATTGTGAAAGAAAGATGGTATTTGTTCATGGTTAGTAGCTTATAAATTGAGTATAGGTGAATATTCATTATCCAAAATGCTTGGGACCAGAGTTGTTTCAGATTTCAGATAGGCTCAGATTTTGGAATATGTGTACATATATAATAAGAAATATTGGGGTGGGATCCATGTCTTACCATGAAACTTACTAAATTCATATACACATACACACACACCCTGAAGGTAATTTAATACATTAATATTATTAGTACACCTGTGTTTTTAAGTTATTTTTAATTGACAGATAATAATTGTATATATATGTGGGTTATAATGATGTGCATTGTGTAATGATCATCTCAAGATGTTTAGATTATCCATCATCTCAAACAATTATAGTTTTTTGTGATAAAAGCATTAAAAATCCACTCTTTAAACTATTTTTATTTATATAATACAATATTGCTAACTACAATCACCTTCCTATGTAACAGCATGATAGAAATTATTCCTCCTATCTGTGTCTTTGTACCCATTTTGACTGTGACCCATCACATGAGATCAGGCATGGAACTTTACACTTGAAATGTGTTGTCAGTGCTCAAAATGTTTCAGGTTTTGGAGCATTTCATGTTTTGGGTTTTCAGATTAGGGGTGCTAATTGAAGAAATGTAGATGAGGATATACCCAGTAGACAATGAGAGGATGATTATCATAGAGATGGAATGGCATATCTTTCTCATTTTTAAATTTTAGTTGATAGATACTATTACTCTCTCAGTTATACTCCCCTCTTATTTTTTAGTGATTTTAATGTTTGCATAGATGGATCTTTCAACACCCTAGCCTCTCTTCTAGTAATCTTGTCTTGAAATCCCTCCTGAGATATTTATCCTCATGATCAGATCCTAGATCTAGGCATCAGAAAATAAACTTATCTATAACCTCATTTTCATGCATCCCACTGTTGTTGATTATAGCTTCCTGTCTTTTCAATGCTCTTTATTTTGTTCCCTCACCCTACCCATGATTTCTCAAGGATTTCCAGTTCACAGGTCCTCTCACATTTTACTTTCCCTCACCAAACTGCATATTCTTTCTTTCCTCCCTAATCAGTTAAATTCCTATGATAACTGAAATATATATTCCTATGATATATATTCCCTCAACTCCCTTGTTCCTTTCTCACTTCATCATCCTCATTCACTGAAATCACAGACCAGTTTATATTCAACTCTCCACTTTTTCCCAACCAACATTGAATGAACCAGGAGAAAAATACATACAGGTTGATGTCACTCACTCAATATTTTTAATCTCAAAGCTTCAGTGAATATTTAATGTTTTTTAACAATCATTTGGTATATCTCTGGTTTTCTCTCAAATTTCTAAGTGACTATTTTTAACCTTTCCTTCTCAAACCTATAATTTCACCTGTCCTATCCATTCTTTAAACTTAAAATTTTGATGTATTTTTCACTGAAAAAATAAAAGCACAGAGAAAGGAAGTTCACCAACCCCTGCCAACACATCTACCCATTTATAGCAATTAAACCCACTTAGTATCTAATATACTCGGCCTTTACTTGGATTATGCTCTCTTCCACTCTTTAATATCTCTCTCCATAAAATTATTCTACTTAGCTAAAGAGATATTAATATATCCCCAATCTTAATGTTTTTAAAAACAACTTCTCTTGACCCCAATTCATGCTTCAAATACTGTTCTAATATGTGTCTTCTTTATATCACACTCTAACAAAAGGAGGCCTTCAAACAGTCTTTAATTCCTCTCTTATTGTCTCACAACCCTATTCCAGTTAGACTTGTAGCCCCATGTCTCCACTGAAACTACTCTTAATTGAAGTTTACAATAATGTCAACATGGCCAAATCCAAGGATCACATCAGTCCTTATCTTATTTCACCTCTATTATGGTTTGGATATAGAAATATGCCCCACCCCCAAGCTCATGTTTTGGAAACAGTCCCCAGTACTGCAACACTGAGATATTTAACTTCTAGGCAATGAAGAGAATTTGGTGATTTAATACCAAACTGTGGCATCATCAGTGGATTAATCCATTTGTTGGATTAATAATTTGAATGGTTTGCTGAGTGGTAACTGTAGGCAGGTGGGGTGTGTGGCTGAAGGAGGTAGGTTACAGGGGGTGTGATTTATTTTGTCTTAGACTTCTCACTTGTTCCCTGGTTCCTGGCTATCAGGCTCCTCTCCCATGATGGTATGCCTTACCTTGGGAACAGAGCCATGGAGTCAGCTGACCCTGAACTGAACCCCTGAAACTGTGAGCCCGAAATAAACTTTTCCACCTCTAAGTTGTTCTTGTCAGGTCTTTTGGTCACAGTCACAAAAAAAGCTGACAAGCACAACCTCTCACCACCCATTTGTCCTCCTCTGTAAAAGTTTCTTTCTTCATTTCTAAGATACCGCATTTCCTTGGTGTTCCTCAGACTCACTCTTTAATCCTCTTTGGTCTTGTTTTGTAGTTATTATTTTTCTCCCTGATTTTTTGTCACTGCAGTGATCCAGGTATCTGTCCCTGGATTCCTCTATCTGTACATGCTCCTTTGGTGATTTAATACTATATCATGGTCTTAAATCTCATCCATGTATGGATGGCTCACAAATGATTCTCTCTAATTCTCTCCCCTGTGTTTTGGATGCAAATATTCAGCTCCTTATACAAACTCTCCACTTGAATATCCCATATCCCCAAGTTTCAGTGCTACTAATATGGTTGGATTTTTATTTCCAATGATTACTGTGGAGACATCAGTGGGAATAATTCTGTCCTGAGTCCTAAGTGAAGTGGTGTTTATGATCTAGAACTCTGATAGAGTTAGTCTTAGCAGAGTATGTTTCAGGATTTGTGAATTTTTGAAGCCTATATAATATGAGGGTTCCTGAAAATAATACAAAAATAAAAATCTAAAATAAGTTACAGCACCTCAGAAGATATACAGTGAGTTAGAGGATCTATAGTTTAACCACAAAGTAATCTACCCTGAAGTCCTGGTGCAGCTTTTCTGACCCATATCCATTGCTT